GTGGTTGAGTTTTTATAAAAAAGTTTTTAATTTGTTTTTGTATCTAATTATATGGTCAACATTGTTCACTAAAAATGACGAAATGTTAATACAATGTTAATAAAAAATCACTGAAGTTCCAAATAGAAATAAACTTATACAGTGTGTATCCTAAATAAAAAAAGTTACCGATTGATTACATAAGAGACGAAAGTCCTGTATAAAAGATGTATCACGAAAATTTTACTAAATATAAATTATTTGCGACTTTACTATGATAAAAATTTATTATTCCAACATTGTACATTAATATATATTTTCATTAAGTATTTCTACTCATATTTATTCTGTAAATTTATAAGACTCAAACGCATTAAAATTGTTAAAATGTTTTATGAAAAATAATATTATCTGGTAATAATATTATCTGATATTATCTGATAATAATATTATCAATATATTTTTAATTGACATTATAACAGAATTCATGTTATATTAAATTAAAAAAGGAATATATTTACTACCAATTCTGGAAATTGACTTTTTTCATTGCTTTTTTGTTCTTATAAAAAATACAGCATTCTTATAAAATTTCTGTATATTAGAACTTTAATATTTTGCACTATTAAAACAAAATTTTTATTATGCATTTTGGTATTAAATATAAAAAATTGTAACATGAAAACTTTTTTATGATAAATCATTTTATTAATTAAATGTATTGAAAAAATGAACAGTTTAAGGAAATCCATCATCGTCTTCTTCTGCCATTTCTTTAGCAAGTTCTAAATCTTGTTGCTCTCTTTCTCTACGTTCTTCTGCCGATTCAAGATCTTTTCCATACGATTTTGGAGGATATCTCATAGCTTTAACACTTTGATTGTGTAAGTCTAAGCAAAAAGTAATTCTCTGGTGAAACGCAAGTAATGGTTCCTTAGTGCAATAAATATCTGTAGTTTCTTTGCTACGCATATATCCATTTTCTGGTTCTAAAGTAGCTTCAATTACACCATCTCTAATAGCTTTAGCAACGATAAATTCTGCATCAACACTAGAATCCAAACCCAATTTTTTTGCAATGTCTGCAGGAGAAATTCTAGAATAGGATAGCCCAATTGATCTAATTGCCGTTTTTATAACATTATGCCTCAATCTGAGAATTAAAGTAAATGTATGGTCTGCTCTAAACTGTGGACCAAAATTTTCTAAAACCTCCCCAAAACGTTGAAGATTTCCTAAACGCACAGCTTGGGTAAGTTGAAAATATGGTGCTAACGCACGACGCATAGCAGCTTGTCTAAATGTTTGACGTTCCGGGATATCTCCAAGTAACAGTTCTACTGTCACAGCTAGTTTTTGAACTGTTTGACGAAAACCTACTGCTGTACTTTGAGGAGCTTTTCTCAGAGCCTATAAGGAAACATATTTTCAAATAATAATTTAAAAAATTGATCAATTTTGATATGATTTATGTTCATATATTAGAAAAAATTTCAATTTACCTGTACTAAATATTTGTGTGCAGCAGAATATTCCAGTCTAGCTGCTTTAATGCGACCCAAATAATATAAAAATCGAGCCCATTCATTATTGCTGGCAGATTCTGGGAAAGTTGATTTCAGTACAAGTTTATCTGCTTGATCATACAAATTGTAATGCAAATAATTCCGTAATAAGCAATTAATTAATACTGCTTGTCCTTCAAAGTCATTTCTAAGTGTTGCTGTTCTTAGCCTCAGGTGTAATAATCCACGAATTTTATCCAATCTCCCAACTAATTCATATGCTCTCGAATAGTAGAAATAGCATTTTGCAGCAATTAAATCAATTGTACGTCTATTTTGAGCAATAATTTTTTGTAACAATGCCTCTGAACATTGAACAGCTTCATCATGCTTTCCAATATCAATTAAGCGTACAAGAACTAATAAATGAATGTAAGCATCAATTTCAGGTAATGGGTTCATAGTAGAAATGCGAAGTTTTTGTGTTTCATCTGATTCTGTAGATTCTTCTAACCATGATAATAATGCATCACGTTCTATACATGGTTTTACATAAAAACTTAGAATTATTGCCCGTAACACATTAGAGTTTAGTCTGCGACGTGTATTAGGCAATGTACGTAAAGCTCTTAAAATAAAACGAGGTTCTTTGCTTTGAACAGCCTTTTCTATTTGCCGAGTATGGTCACGAATGTCATGAATTGATTGAAGATCAGCATCCACTTTGTCACCAACATCTTTATCACCATTTTGACCTTCAAAAATTATTTCAACATCCATAGCTTCAGGATTTTTAGTTGTAGAGACAACCATGTTGACTCTCACAAAGTTAGATTCCTACAGACACATTGTAACTTTGGTATGAAAGAAAGTATATTAACTAAGTTAGACTATAGCAAATTAAACATAT